GTTGATGGAGTAAGGTGCCCCCCCCCCGTCTGATAGACTGGTGTCAGAGAAAATTTTGGATACGGTCCTGGATCCAAAGGGACTTGCCTTGAGACAGATCGTTCAACTTGGTCCACCAGCACAGGCTTAATTTCACCTGGAGAGGTACTATCGACCCTCTGCCCACTTCAAGGAAAGATCTATCTATAAGGCAATAGAGTTTTGGTATGGCTGTAAAAATAGTTGTAGTTGTCTGGAGTGAAAACCTTCCGCATTGTAGTGTGTCAAAAGCCATGACCGTGAGGCCCATCATCTTGGTCAGGGTGAAGTCCTGGCTTGAATAATTTGGTTAACCTACTCTTTGATCTTTCTGGCCTTTTTGACAGGAAGATAAAGCTTTGTAGCTTGAGTGTCCATCACCACTCCAAGTGTTCCAGATGCTATGTGGGAGTCAGAGAGCATTTCTGCATGTTCACCAGGAACCCAAAGTCTTGTAAGCACTGCGAATGCGAATCCCTTGTTCTTGAAGACAAATGACCGGAAGAACCAGGATCTTTGTAAACACCCAGGGAGCTGATGAGACGCTGAAGGGCAGGGTTCGGAACTGGAGATGAGTTTCCTCCACGCAGAAATGTAGGACTCTTTGATGGTGTAAGAAGATTGGAACGTGCATGTATGTCTCTGCCAAGAGGAGAGGAACTCCCTGGGTCGTAAGGATTCCACAATGGATCTGAGGGTCTCCATGCGAAAGTGTCTGTGTTCAACATATCTGTGTAAGCATTTCAAATCTAGGATAGCCCTCCAATCCCCGTTCTTTTGGGGGACCATGAAGAAGATGGAGTAGACCCTGGTCTCTTGTTTGTTTACAGGGACAGAGTATGGTATGAATGGAAAAAAGAGGGGCCTGCTGCCATCTTATCCCCCAAGCTGTACGGTCTTGGGTAGAGCCTTCGTCTTGTTGCAGGTTTCTACTAAGATTTCTTTCTTTGTATGTATCTTTCCAGTGGATCCTCGAACAGCTTGTCTCCCTGAAATAGTCATGCTGTGATGATGGCATTAGATTGGTAATCTGTAGGCCAAACTCTTAGATGATGCAACTAGTGGCGGCTGCTGATGCCATCGCCCTGGAAGCAAAGACCATGGTGTCTAGTGTGGCATCAGCAGTATAGGAGATGGCTTTCAAGATCCTATTGGCACCCTCCAGTAGTCTGCGGTTGCTGCCTGGTAACATCTGTATCAATTTATGTTGTGAGCTTCTGGCATTAAAGTTGTGGGCCAGCAATTTGGCTACTGCATAAATTAGTTAGCTCTGGAGCCATCCCTCCCGAGCAAAGACAAAATGGCATGAGCTGGAGGCCAAAAAACCGTGAGCTAGTCCACACTAACTCAGTTTAGAGGGAACACTGCCCTCCAGTAGTCTGCGGTTGCTGCATGGTAACCTCTCTATCAACTTACGCATCCACACAATAGTTGCTTTAGAAACTGTGGATGCTGCAGCTGGCATATTGATTGCCATGGAAGTGGCCTCATGTTCATCTTCAGAGAGCAACCCAGGGGATTGTAGGGCAGTTGCAGGTGCATCAACCACAGGTACCTGCAAAAGATCTGAAGCAGATGTTATCAAAGGGTACAACTTTTTAACAACCCCTGGAAATGGTTTGTTTGTTATTGGCTTTGCCCACTCTGCCTCATCTGTCTCACATAGAATTCAGGGCTCTTTCTGAGCAATTAGCTGGAGGAAAGAACTCATCAATGAGCTCTGTGCCATCTTTCTGCCCTTGGGCATTAGCACTCTTGTCCCCTGCCTTTTGGGGTCTCTGTATATTGAGTGCTGATAGGGTCTTAGACAGCAAATACTGAAAAACCTCGCCCTTGAAATATCTAAAGGACTGGTCTGAGACAATCATTTCCCCCTATTCACCATCATTACATGAAAATCCCCCCCCTTTTTTACCAGAGTTATGTGAGAGGCTATCCCTCTCATGTGAAGTCGGATCAAATAGGCAGTGCCCCTTGGTGAACCCTTTTTGTGCAGCTTTGGTGGGACAGTTGACTCTGTTCTTGCGCCTCCAAAGAGAGGGGGAGGGGGAGGGGGATATAGTAGCCCCATGGCCCCCTGATCTGCAGAAATGCACTATTTCCTCCCCCATGGCTCTTATAAAGAAGGCCATTACATTTGGAAATAAGGGGACAGACCGGGGATTGTCAACATTACCGCTCTGCAACTCATCATCTTCCTCGTCCCCTTGAGCATTATCGGCACAATCACACCTAGCTCGATGAACCCCCTTGAACCATAGGTCTCAGGGTGCGCCATGTGCAAGATTAGGCTCTGCTCGCCGCTCTGCAACTTGTCATCTTCCTTGGCCTCTTGAGCATTATCGGCACAATTGTGCCTAGCTCGATGAACCCCCTTGAACCATAGGTTTCGGGGTGCGCCATGTGTGGGATTAGGCTATGCTCGCCATTCCCGTCTTAAAGCATAGAGTGGCCAGTGGACTCCAAAATGGCCACTGAGGCTGGTGCGGGCTCCGTAAATGCTGCAGGGGTGTGCAGCTGTTTGGCGCGCTTTGGAATGCCATCCTTGCCTTGCTCTGCTGGTTGAGCGTCGGCCACTGCCACGGCCTCTATCTCCGGAGTGGAGAGAAATCCACTGCTATCCTCTCTTAATGTCATGGAAGGCGGTCTGTGAGATCCCCCTCCCATTAAGAGAGCAACTGGCCCGGCAATGCTCAACCTCCAAAGGGGGGGGGGGGGAGAAAAGAGGATAACATATAGGAAGGAAGAAGAAAAGGATTTTTCCCCCTTAAGTTTCTTCAGAGAGAGGGAACAGCAAAGATGGAAGGAGAAAGTGAAAGCAAGTTAACTCAGAAAGACAGGGTTAGGCAGAGCCTACACCTAGCTGCTCTCCCTTCTGAGGCAGGAAAAGAACTGAGCCTAGGTTGACTCCCACTACAGGAAACAGGAAGTAATTGAAATTAGTCCTGCCTCCCTAAGTGATGGATGGGAATCACCCGCAAGATGTCCTCCACCTCAGAGGGAGAAAGTCTCAGTTCCAGCATGAAAGTTAATCCTGGCATACATTTGCCAATTAAAGCAGAATTTGATGCTATCCTTACAGCTCATTGGCTTGTTCTCATTCATAAAGGTCAGAGATGTCCAGATCCAAATCTTGGGATTATATTGTTTTTTGAAAATGGCCTCCTTCTCTGGCAACATTCATCTCAACATGGGAATGAAATGTAACTTAAAATGCCTGCTATAGTGGAGCAAAGTCTGACACCCCCCCCCACAATATTCTAGGAGCTGTTTATAATAAAGTGAGAATAATCTGAAGTGTTATTTGAACTTCCACCTGACTGTCAAAGAAAAGACAGCACAACTGTTACATTTAGCAATACATAGCTCATTCAGAATCAAAGTGGGCCACAAACAGATCCAGAATCATGAGAACAAAATCCCCCCCCAAAAAAAAATCCCTCTCAAAACCACCAGAAAATGAAGCATTCCCCTCTGACAGTCTGGCAGTTCTGTATAAGGATCTCGCTGACAAGTTAGAAGAGTCCCTCCCTTTCTATTCTCTGCCCCACTAAACTGATACTTCTCTTAAAACAGCAGCATGCCTAAGTGATTCGCCATCTGCTGAGTGAAAGAGGTACTGCCGCCAGCCCTTGGTTTTTACAGGACACATTTCGCTTCGATTTGCAACCATGTTAGAAAGCCTGCCAACAACTATCCAGGTACGGGGCTGGCATTTCATAGGTGGAATGGTCTGTTTTCCTGTTCCTGTGAACTAATTTTTTTTCTCTGACAGAGAAACAGAAGCCGAGCGAGTAGTTAAAAAGAGGCCAAGTACCTTGAAGAGGTGGTTCTCAGTGGTGCTCTGCTGTAGGACTCCCAAATCTTTTAGCTTCTGTCCAATCAAGGTCAGCATGAAACTGTATATGTTCTCTAGGCTCACACCCGGAGAGCAAAGCCTCAGGCAGGATTTCTGCACCTCTAGTACAGCCTGGTACAACTCTGCCTGGGGACCCGTGAATCTGAGAATGCAAGATAAGTGCCAATTACCACATTTAAGCAGAAAGGAAAGCCATTCCTTAAAAGGTTCAACCAAGATTTCTGGCCCTTTTTGGCTTGATTCCACTTTGGAATGCAAGTGCAGGATCATATCTTTTAAATGTCTCCCCCCATGTCAAAAACATTCTGTGCATAAACAAATCAGTATACTAGGAAGAAGGCTAGGCAGGAGCACTTTCTCCTCAACTGCTAGTTTCCAAAAACTGAAATTAACTGAAATGCTACAGTGCATTCTGACACAGTTCAGAACCATGTGGTATTTCTGAATGTGCAGAGTGACTCTACATCACCACATTTCTAGGCCCTTCCACTGGAGTGTGTGAAGCAAATCAGGTAATAAAGATTACTAATATAAGCAATTTAACACTGCCGTCCTAAGCAGAGTTGCATCCTTCTAAGCACATTGACTTCAGTGGACCTAGAAGGGGTGTTACTCTGCTTAGGATGGCATGGTTAGAAAGCCTTGGAAATGTGGCGAAAACAGAGAAGTAGCAATAGTGATAAGAGCCACTTTAAAACAGCAGCAAATGAATCACAGACTTATTGAAATTACACTTGGCCTCTCCCTCCCTCCCTTCTCCTTTCTGCACCAGAAGAGTGAAGGCGATGCAGTTTCAACAGCCTCTTAAGAACAGCACACGGTATTTTCACTGCTGGGAACAGAGCCTACCTGCCACTGATGGGCCACGTGCGAGTGATGTCACTGACATAACAGGAAGACTCGCATCCTCCATCCAGTAAAACCATCTCTCCATCCTGGAGCAAAGAAAAGTGACCAGACAATATCCCTTGATATTTAAGAGTATCATTGAACCCCAGACAAAAAAAATCAGAATTATTTTTTCCCCAATTTGTTAGTTACTCAAAAAGAACCTGAATATATATTGCCTGGTAGAGAAAAGTTGCTTTCTAAATGGGCTGTAGCCCAGGGAACTTAAAATAACACTTTTCAACTTTAAGACCACCTTGTCCTACAAACATTTCCCTTCCCCTCTCCATGGCAAAACATGTTTAACAGCTGTTGTCATGTTGGTTCCAGATAGCAAGAGGTGCAACAATGATAATATCCTTTAAGGAACCAATTCCTGCTGCTGTAGGTTTGAGTAGGATTTGGAGTGGCACAGAACTCTTCCATCTGGCAGAAGTATTTAAAACTAACTATGATTGAAAAGCCAACTAACTATGATTGAAAAGCCAACAGTAGCCAACAATCTTCTATTGGAAAATGAATTATACATTGGAAGAGAAAAAAATGTTTTGTATTTTGTGCTTAGGATCCTAGTTGCAAGGATTAAAATCTCTGCACCAGATATCAGACTGGTCCTTTCTATGGTGAAAAACCGACTACCCTTTCTGTTCTGCCTAATGAAGAGCTCTATGAAATCAGAAAGTCTTCATACTCTTAAACAATGAAGTTGGTTCAGTAGAACATATAAACTTACACATTTTGTATCTCTTACAGGGCAGTCCAAAGCAGCGTTAACATCCTTCTAAGTCCACTAAATTCAGTGGGATCAGAAGGGTGCTTAGGAGGATCATACAGTATATAATAGCACCTTTCATACACAATTTTCAACTGGAACTAGAAAAACAGAAATGTCATTTCAGCAGAATGTTAAAGGACTTCAATCATAGACACTGCATTTAAACATCATGAACAAACTCTATTTTGGTTTATTCTCAGGCTTGCACAAATAAATCCTGTCCTCCCCCAATATGTGACATATGACTGTAGTGTCCATGCAAAAGAAATGCTCCTTAACTATTATATTGTCTCCATGCACTGGCATAAAAAATGAACAAGATTGCCTATTACAGATTCCACATTACACAGCCTATTTGTGCTCACATTAGAGGTTAAGGTGGGATCCTATTTTTGTGGGAGTGGCTTAAAACTAGAGACGGTTTGTAGCATAAGGCCCAATTTTCAGAGCTAAATAAATGACAATGTCCAAATTAATATGTTCCCAAACACTTTTTAAATGTTTTGTTGTTGCTGAAATTTAACAAGAACAATCTGTTGGAGGTCCCGCCTTCTGCCCAGGTCCCTGGCACCTGTTTCAATCATACTATTTTTCAATCTGTCTATGATCTGTGACAGTTGAGCTCAACTGGATAGCACGCATACAAAAGGCTCGGCTGTTCTGGTGAACCTCAGGCTCCGCTGTGGAACAACTGCGAACAGAGTTCTGAAGTTCCAGAAGAGAACAGTAGAGAGAAATTAATTTGTTTTAAGATTCAATTCCCACCAATCGTCTGCCACCCAAGAAAGAGGACACCTGCTGTCTTGCAACAAGGGGGTCCCACAGTGCTCGAGTGCTTCAGCTGTTCGTTATCGCTCCTATATCCCTCCTTCCTTCCAAGTAAAGTAAACAGGAGAGATTCCCCTCCCCCACAGGAGCCTCCCCCTCTCTACTGATTACTGGTCAGCTGTTAAAAAACTCCATGATTTTGGAGACTGACAGGTGCCAAGTGGCCACATTCCCCAATCTTTTTAAAAAGGGAGTCTTGGGGCAGAGAATATCTGCTTTTGAGGAAACAAACCACTGAAAAGTGTCTGCACAATAAAATATCACACCACAGGCCTGCATTCACATGAACAAAGGCAAACAAACTCAGGGCAATTTTGAGGAGGCATGATTCAGGTGGGAGAGTTTGCATTATTTGTGTCTTTACATATTGAAATACAGTTTTCTATCCCCTCCCCCAAAGGATCTCAAGGCCCCAAATTCACTCACTGCTTGAAGGAATGACAGCTTTTGCTAACCTGTTTCTGTAGGGTTTTCATACTACCTCATAGCAGTTGCCAGAACAGCAACCTCGATGGCTGTCAGCATCACTGAACTGGGAACAATTAACAATGCAATCTGTCCAAATCACACGATTAACAAAGCATGTAACTGAGTTCACAGTGAATACAGAACCATAACACTGAAGAAATCAGGATTAGCACTTCTACCTCTCCATATGTATTGACCCTGAGGATCCCAAATGGTGCCTGCTGAGACCATTCCTGGGGCCTGCCTATAACATTTTTAGAAAGTGGGTGGGACCAGATGGGGCTTTTGCCCAGCAGGTCATCTGACTGGCCGCTGGAGAATATTGCTATGCTGCCTCTTCAGAGACCTGCTTGAGGTAGCTTACAAATAGGGCGGGGTAAAAATATAATAAATAAACAAACAAATAAAAACCAAAGTATTAAAACACTGCATATTTTTAAAAAACGTTTCTGTAGGGAGCTACCACCAGTGTTGGTTTTATTCTCTCTTTTACTACTATTTCCCATTTTATTTTTTAAAATTACCCTTCTTCTCCCCTGCACTTGAGCTTCCTCTGTGTGTGTACGCATGTCTAACTCCACTTCTCATGGCAGCCATTTTGTGTCTGCATTCCCCACCCTATGTCAGAATTACAAAGGTGCCCGTGGGCTGAAAAAGGTTGGGGAACTGTGACCTAGTTCATTACAGGAGCTAAAGAAAGAGCAATAACATAAGCAGAATGGTTTGAATTTGAATCTTGAGATAGTAGACTGGAGATATTTTTCTAGTCTATCACTGAAGTTGCTTGCTTCCACTTGTTCCATCTTTCTGCTCCTTTTTTGCCACCAACCAAGACTGAGAGCAAAGGTACATAACAGGAAAGTTGATAAACAGACATTTAGGATTCAATGATGGTTTAATTCTGTCAAGGAATAACTTCCACATAACCTAGAAAGTATACATATAGCCTAAGGTACACCAGTTACTGGAAATCATGTGATTCATGTAAATCACATGGTTTGGACAGATTGCATTGTCAGTAGTTTCTGTGTCAATGGTGCTGTCTACCATCTGGGATGCTGTTCTGGTATGGAAACTAACCACTAGAAAAATCTGAAAACCAGACATTTGTACAACTCTCACTCAAACTAGGGGACACCAATTGTACCACAAAATTGTCAAGGTACTCCCAAATTCACTAAACACCTGGTTTACTGATATCCTGGTTACCAGGAAAGTCTTGAAGAGAGACATCTGTGAGTCTCTCCTCAAAATGAGAAACGTGAATCGTATCCCAAAGCAATTAAAGTAATTCTGGACAACTGAAAAAGTTATTTGGTACTTAAAAAGTCTGAAATGACATTTTGACATGTAATTCTCAAGACATGGGACGTGAAGCTTAGGTCCTAATTTGAGCACAGAGCAAACCAAGCCATACGTAGAATGGAATACTAGGGCAGGAGTTCTATTCTTGACTCATCTTGGTTGCTTTTAGATTTGGAAGGAGAGATACTCCTAGCAGCAGACAGGACCAAACCCTGTTAGAATACAAGCTTTTAAACAATAATCTATATACTAGTAACAGACACCAGTTGATGTGCAGACACTCTTTGAAAGCATTCATAGTTGTCAGATATAATGGTTCAGACATCAAATTAAAGATCTTAAGGGGATGATTTGCTGCAAAGTACTGGTACTGGAACAAAATGACATATGAACTCTCTAAAGGTAATCCACTGCTAGTAATTACATGCACACAGATGTAGCAAACAAAAGACTCTGCAGTGCCACTCCACAATTCAGCTTTTGCTGAGGCATGCTCCTGAGCAGAAATCTGCTCTGTGTTCTGCTACCAATGCCAAAGGATGGTATAGATACCCTTCTCAGCAAGTAGGGGTCGCATCTTTACAGGCTGCGCAAAACAGAAAGCACTCCATTTTTTTAAAAAAAAATCCAAATAGTTTTACAAGAAGAAGAGGAGATTGGATTTATACGCCACCCTTCACTACCCAAAGGTGTCTCAGAGCGGCTTACAAACTCCTTTCCCTTCCCCTCCCCACAACAGACACCCTGTGAGGTAGGTGGGGCTGAGAGAGCTCTTGACAGAAACTGCTCTTTTTCAAGAACAGCTCTTATCAGAGCTATGGCTTGCCCAAGGTCATCCAGCCAGGTGCAAGTGGAGGAGTGGGGAATCAAACCTGGTTCTCCCAGATTAGAGTCGGCGCACTTAAACACTACTCCAAACAAGGGTCCAATATGGATATAGCATCAACAAATCACAGTAAGAAGTTTTACAATCCATCTGATTACCTTGATGAGCTGGTTGTTTTTCACATAATGCAAAGTATTGGATCTGTTGCCACCGGCAACCACAGGGGGATAAGCCAAAATGTCAGCACCACGAGCCCGACACTCAAATTCAAACTGGAATAATTAAGTCAGAAATTAGGGAGTCTGTTAATTCTGGTACAGTAATACACGGCTCAGGTGTAATGCCTGTTGGCTTGTATACAGAACAGCAGCCCAGACATAAATACAGAGAAGGGAATGCTGGATTTCTACAGAGATTTAGGTTCAAATCTGAATTCAGTCCTAAACTCCCTGGTTGGCTTCAGGCCTGTCTCAACCCAATATATTTCAATGGCTGTAAAGAAAAATAGAATAACCCCATACAGGTAGTCCTAAGCTCCTTGGAGGAAAGATATAACTATGATAAATAAAGTAAGTAAATCAACCGCTCTACAGAAGATGAACCTAAAGAGTCTGGCTTGATCTTTTTGGGATGGCAAAGGGATATGGGGGGGGGGGGGATTGCTGGAACTCATAAACTGATTTCCACATCTGGCCTTTGGCAATTCTCCTGTACACTGCATCTATGTGGTCCCACACTGATTTTGATTTGGGCCTATTTCTACTGCTAGGGATTGGGTTCTTAACAGCATGATCCTAAGCAGGTCTATTCAATGGGGTTAGGGGCGCATTGTTAGTCAGTCAGTCAGTCAAACACTTCCCGCAGAAGGTAAAAACAGCACAGAAAATTAGGAGGTGCTTTGAATCTGAATAAACTGCTTTTTTTCACGATAGGCTCCATGCCTTGTATCCTTTCTAAAGCATTGTTTTGGGAAAGATACATAATCAGTGCAGTGGAGGAAAGACATTTGTTGTCCTCTTATGGCAGGTTCATGTGAAAAGTTTTGGCATGAATCCTAGACTTTTCCACTTGTGCCCCTCTTTGCCTGTTTGGAGACAGCACTCGTTACAGAGTGCACTCCTATCTTGCTAGGCACTTTTCAGCTCCTTGAAAGACAGTGATCTTGCATAAGTGGAAGTGCTTAGCACCAAAGGAAACACACTCAGCAATGGAGGATTGCTCTGCAATCTATGAAAAGGAGCTCAAGCAGAAAGAAGGTATAAGATTGAAGCCTAAGAGTTTAATGCAAAAATCAGTCTTCATTGGCTTCCTGTTTCCAAATGTGAGTTCTGACCTTTAAGACCTATGCAGTCTTGGACCTGGGTACTTTCAATGACTGCCTCCTCCTGCATGATTTTGCTATCCAGTCAGGTCACCTGAGAAGACCCTGCTTTGTATTCGTCTGCCTTATAAGTTTCAATGGGTGGTTAAATAGAACAGGGTTTTCTCTGTGGTTACCTCAACTGTGGTCTCCAAGGGCATACTTTCCTTGTTAATCTTCTGGAAGACCATAATTCAAATAGGTTGTTTGTTGCTGTCCCACTGTTGGCTCACGCTATCATGCCAGCTCAGTTATTTGCTCTCTCTGTGGGGAGAGATGCTGGTGAAGAGGTTTGTGTGTGTGAGTTGATGTTTTAAAACCAATATCATTGCTGTTTTTAATTTTTTAAAGTTCCTTTTTCTGTGACCTGGCAGGTTTTAACTAATTTGTCAACTTTAATTTGCTATGGGGAAGGGGTATTCACACCCGGGAGTGGAATTACAAATATTTTAATAAATAATAAATCAGAATGGGTACTTTTTCTATAGCCCAAGACACGCGTACCTTAGCATACAAAAATGCTTCATTCACTGGAGTTTTGCTGGCAAACATTGTCTCTATGAATGCCTGTGAAAAAGCAGCAACAAAAACGTCTGGTGAAGAATCGTTGTGAAACTGAGGAATGAGTCGCTAGCCAAGTCAAAAGAAATATTCACAATAATGGCATAAAACATTCAAACACTCAAGATAAAGGTAAGGAAGTATTATTTTCCACTAGTACAATATTTTGCTTCAGAAAAACTCCAAATCTGCAATATATATATATTTTTTCAAGGACATATTTAAATTCTTTTATATCTGATGATTTTTGGACAAAACAACAAAAAAATAAGTAACAACACATGAAAATAGGCACCTGCCATACTGGTTTGGGTATTTCCTGGGTGGACTTCTCAACTGTTGAGAAGACTGCTTTGCAGAATGTGCATGAGTGGGTGGAGGGACAGGAAGTTGGCAATGTGGAACAGACGGGGCAGGGGAGAAGCAGAGTTGACTGATGATGAAACAACATGGGGTATAGGGTTTCATTCCATTTCTGGCACCTGATGTACAGTAATAGATCTGCTGCTTTGGAGGAGTGCCTCTTTACTTGCGCTGTGCTTGTCTATTTGAAAATAATGCAAATGCAAATCTCCAATGTTCTCTCTTCTAAAGGAAACTAATCCCAGTATCATTGTGCCACGGAACAGGAAAATAGGCTGTATATAATAATAGCAGCAGTAAACTAAGTATCGATTAATATTACATTTTCTGAGTGTATGAAAAATGAACTGTTAAATAAGAAAATACTGATATATGTCAGCCCTCCGTTATATCACTTAGAGCAGGGTTGCCAAACATGCAGCTCATGGGCCGAATCCGGCCCGCACAGGGCTCAAAACCAGCCCCCCAAGCAACTCCTGCTTCCTTTCCCAGGGCTGCTCCTGCAGCTGCACCCTAGCTTGCTTTTTCCCAGCTCTCAGTGGCTCTTTACTTCCTGCTTCTTGCCTCCCCCCTCCCATAGAGCTCCATGGCTGCTTCATGCGGGAGAGATACAAAGACAAGCCTCTGAATCCCTCTCTCACGCAGAGAGCTCCTGTTTCCTTTTCCGGGGCTGCTTCTCCTCTTTTGGGGAGGGATGGGAGGAAAGAGAAAGAGAAAACAAAGTTAGGAGTCCCCCTGCAGCTTCAAGACCAACAACGTTTTATTCCAGGTATTCCAGGGAGGTAGGGCGGGAGGGAGAGGGTGGGTGGATTCTTCTGACAAGCACAATGTACATTAAGGAAACTATTTTAACTTATTCTGAAAAGTTGTGTTTTTTTTATGATTGGATGTTTCTATTCATATCTGGATTTATTTTCTTTCAAAAAGACCCTGATTAGGAATTAGAACATGTGGATTGGTCCTTATATCTTGGAGTGGAGTGGTTTCAGATGCCAAATAATAACAGCACACATTGGTTGTGTTTTTTTTTTTTTTAATGATTGGATGTTTCTATTCATATCTGGATTTATTTTCTTTCAAAAAGACCCTGATTAGGAATTAGAACATGTGGATTGGTCCTTATATCTTGGAGTGGAGTGGTTTCAGATGCCAAATAATAACAGCACACATTGGTAATGAGACAGGAAAACTAGCTCTCAATTCAGTCCAGGAGGATGCAGTCTAGAGCTTCATTATCAATTGCAATTCAGCAGTATCTCTTTCTAATCTCCCTTTGAAATTCCTTTGTAAGAGCACTGCTACTCTTAGGTCGTCAGTAATTGAATGTTGTGGTTTCTAATGTCAGACTCATTCCCATTTATTCTCTGCATCCCCTTGGCCTGAATTCTCCTGGATGGAATTGAGACCTAGGTTTCGTGTCTCATTACCAATGCTGATATCTCCATGCCTACTTCCCTTCTGCATATCACACCTAATTCAATAATGCCTGCTATTGCCATTCAGCATCTGGAATCATCTTTATAAAGTTTATATCTCTGGTACCTCGTGTTACATTTTATAGCACACATGGACTGGCCCAACAAAGTGACATCTATGTCAGATCCGGCCCTCATAACAGACTCAGAGCTTCAAATGAAAGTATTCACCCTTAATAAAGTTCATAATTATAGAAAAGCCATAATACTGCCACTTGAAAAAATTACAAAGGAGATAACTAACTTGGTCTTTATCCCTACAAATGACCATAGTTTAAGATGCTATTTCTGAACAATCTGAGTTTGATAAAAAGACATCATCTGTGAGTTCAATAATGTACTCTCACAGATCTGTCTTACCCAGTTCTGCTTATGACGTAACAAATAATGCCTTTAATGGCTGTCTAAGGTCTTTCTACCCTAAAACAAGCCACAGGAGGTCATTACATTTCACATGCAAAGATTCAACTGCCATTAATTGTGAAATTCTGTGCTCTAGAAGAATATTAGATATATTCAGCCCCTTTTGATTTATCTTTTGTCGCATTCATTCATACAAGATTATATTTATCGTGTTAGCCACAGGCCAGTACAATGAGTACTCCACGGTATTTGTTTTAAAAAAAGCTATTCCATTAAATTGAAAGGGGCAATATTTAGCATGAAATCCTTATACAAGTTTCAGGTGGGTTGGTCTGCAGTAAGAGAGTGAGATTTTAGTCCAGTAGCACCTTAAAAACCAAAACGATTTCCAGTATATAAGCCTTTGAGAGTCTGATATCTGATGAACATCTGACAAAGGGAGCTTTGACTTGAATCTTGCTCTGCTATCCTTGTACAAGAACCAGTCCTCGGAAGGAACCGCTACATACCAGTTCCAAGCCAGTGATGCTTTGCATCTGACAGGAACTCTGGCGTCAAACCACCTTTACTCAAAAATCTCAAGTAAGTTGTAATTGTATTATTCAATACCTGTGATGTCACCTTTCCAGCAATCTTCATCCTCTCAATCTCTGCAGAGGATTTTACTAGCCGTAGGCTCTGCACCAAGGGCCGGATGGCTCGGATACGGTTCTTGCTTCTGGCTTTGACCTCAGCCAGGTGCAGAAGGTAGTCAGAATGGAGCTGTGGATGCACTGGCTTAACAAAATCATACCAAACCACTGTAGATTCATCTATGAAGCAGAACAGAAACACAGAGTAATTTGAATAGTGACATGTATCTTTCAGGAATTCAGAAACTTGGGTCTAATGATCTAACAGATCTTTGCTGCAATCCCTTCCTTCCAGCAATCTCTTCTGGCCCCAGGAAAGTTGATTTGTGGAGTCATGTGGGGCATATATGTAACCAAATAGCCACATGAGTCAGAAGTGGCACTGAGGAAGGAGATGAGATTGCCTCTCCTCTCTCTTCTGTCAGTAAAGCTGCACTTACAGGAGAGGGTGAAGATTTTGCCTCCTTCCCCTTTGTCAGTGCAGCCGTTCCAACCTCAGTCCAGGTGGGTCCTGCAGTGCTGGTAATCCTAGGATCAGAAGGGACTGCTGAGGGGAGGGGAACGTGGCAAGGATCCATGCTCCTTCAACCATAGGATCCAACGCAGAACTTACGAGTTACTCCTGAGTTATAAAGGCTGAGAGTTTGAATGAGTAACTCAACAAGGTCACTTCCCCAAAGTTCTGATAACATTTCAGACTTTATGGGATATTAGTAATATCCTTAAACGAGATGACAGAATTAATTCTCAGACAATCTTATTTCGCTTTACCAGTATGGATTATATTTTGTAAATCTGCTTGAAAAAAAAATCTTGGCAACTATTGCTAAAGCTGTTCTTTCTATCCCATTAACACACCATCTCCTTAAAAAGGAAGCTGCACTTATAAATAAAATATAAACTAAGAAAAGATAGTTCACCACAAAGTTCCTATATACAAGGAGATTAATCTGATTTCAAAACATAAATGCATTTTTTGCTTTCATACATAGGTTTTTGGATCAAATATTGCAGAATGAGTTTTTTAACACATGAAAAGCTCCTCTAATTGAATTAGTTGTGCAGCTCGCCTTACAAACGTTATCATCTAGGTACATCACTCCTCCTTAATGCCCACTTCTTAGAAAGAGGGAATTTGTGAACTACAGACCATAACTTAAACATTCTCCTTGGAACAAAAGGATGTTTCTGCAATAGTCATTTCTATTATTTTTCCATTGCTTGAGCAAAGATCACTGCCCCACAGGCTGCCACATGGGCAAAGGAGCACCTGCAAGGTTGACTACATATTTTCCTCATATATTTGTTAACTAAAGAGTGAGGAAATTGCAACTATGGAGTTAGAGAGGAGTACCTTTGATCTAGGGTCAACAGCCAAAAGGCCCTGTCAAATCACATGCCACTTCATATCTCTTGTCTCCTTTGTCTTACCTTTCAATTTAGCCACCAGATGTCTAAACTCCTCTATGGTATATCCTTCATCCACACCTGTGAGAGCTACCGCCCCATCAGTACCAGACCGTGGTCCATCCCATAGCTCTCTACTTGGGTCCCGCCGGGGGACAAACAGCAGAGCTTTGTGGGATGGCAACGGTTTGCCAGGCAGGCTCTGCAGCACTAAGATGCTGTCAGGCTCCTGGAACCCACACAGATACAGGAAGTTAGTGTCCTGGTGGAAGGTGTATGGAATATCATTGCTCATGTAGTAGGTGGGATTGGACAGCAGAATCACCGTGTGGTCCATCCCAGGCACCTCTTGCTGTATCCGAGCCATCAACTTGTGTCTACGGAGAGAGTATTCTGTTTGTGACAGCCCTGGTGTTACTTCCCCTGTGAACAAAACATTAAAAAAATACAATTCCTGTTTCAGAAAATACTGCTGAACTTGATCTTTACACTTTTATACTCACGTCTTTTCCTCAGTATTTTACTGTCCCTCTCAGCTGCAGCCTCCTTTTCATTCTACACCCCTCTTTTTGCTCCTCATCATTCTTATTCCCTGCTCCCATCTCCTGACATCTCCAGTTCATTCCTCTGTCACACAGAGGAGGGAAAATTCATTGTAGATCAACTAATTTCTGCATTATTAACATTTAGGCAAATATGTTGTTGAGCAAACCTGAACTCCCTCAGGAGTTCCAGAGGAAGTCTAAAGTGAGATAGGAATATTAATCTTCAGACTGTGCAAACAGGTGGTTATGTGAGAGAAGAAAAAGAGGTAAACTTTAGCCCACTAGAAATACTAAACTTTTATGGCTTCTGGACATTGAACAGAAGGCAGCTATGCTGTTTGCACCCTTTTAAAGTGATGGCAATGGGATATTTGACTGCCCAAGAGAAATTTATCGAAGAAACAGCAAGTTTCTAGCAAAGAATAATGACGAGAACTACTTTCAGTGTTACAAGTTAAGTACCTAAGGACTCCATGAAAAAATTCTCTGTCTGGGAACTGCAGATTAATCTTTCAATCCCATTTTATCTGTAAAGAATGCAAAGTACAAAAAACAAGAATATTTCAACAAAGCTGAACTGAAGATGAAGAAGGTGCTAACTACAAAACAGGTATGTACTTGGCATAATCTAAACACTGTCCTGCATTAAGTTATGCACTCATAAATTTTACCGATATAAGCTGGACTTCTCGATTGACTGATGTAGGCTCAATGCTGTGTTAAATAACTGGGAAATATCTGCCACTGAAGTTAATACTTCCAGAGTTGCTAACTGCCAGGAAGAAAAAAAAAATGTCTTATCCCTTTAATAGAGGCTTAATTGGACATTATTTTACCCCATGCTATGAAAAATTTCAGCTATCTATCTATTTAAGCTTCTATTAGACATTTTTTTCTAGATCAGTTGGAAAACCTAGTTCTAGATAAGTATGATTATATGGTACTATTCAGGGCTTTTTTGTGGAAAAAGCCCAGCAGGAACGTATTAGCATAATAGGCCACACCCAACAGCAGAAACTTATTAGCATATTAGGCCACACCCCTGACAGCACAGCTCATTGGCATATTAGGCCACACCCTCATGTTACCAGAAGTGTGGTCATCCAGCCACACCCACCTTTTGCTTCTTATTCTGTTTACCTTGTTTGTTGCCAAAACCCAGGGCTTTTTTTGTAGCAGGAACTCCTTTGCATGTTAGGCTCATACACCCCTAATGTAGCCAATCCTAATGAGTTTCTGCTGTTGGGTGTGGCCTATTATGCTAATGAGTTCCTGCTGAGTGTGGCCAACTTGGAAGCCAACCGGAACTCCGTTCCTGTGCGTTCCTGCCCAAAAATAGCCCTGGTACTATTACAGTGCCATCTTAAGAGTCACCCTTCTACGTCTACTGACAACTCGGCACCGTTACTGTTTTAAAGCCCTTAATATCAAATCTGTAAAAACCTAATATTTAAATTGTACATTGTTATATTCTAGTTTCAAATTTCTCTTTCTTTGTAATATATTATGTGAGAATGGTGAATATTTAACAGTAAAGCAGCAGAGGAACAGCCCTAATTTATTCTGAGATAAATATGTGGCCAAATCAAACCAACTATAAGATTATATTTGATTTTTTAATGGAGACAACACACCACCTGAAATCTATTCTCAGCTTTTCAAACACCTGTTGTATTTCAAACACCAGTGATCCCTGGCCCAAGGGATGTCTGCTTAGCCTTGACCAGAGCTAGAACTTTTTTGGTCCTGGCTCCGGCCTGGTGGAACAGTCTCCCAATTGAGATCAGGGCCCTGTGGGATTTACAACCATTCTGCAGGGCCTGTAAAACAGAGTTGTTCTGCCAGGTTTGGCAGTGGACACTATATTAGATCAGGCCCCCCCCCCCCCTCCCGCGGTCCTATCCACCTATGCCACTCACAGGTACTTTTTATGAATTGAGTGGTGGGAATTTTTGCCACTTGCTAAAAATCAGTGTACACAAGGGTCAGAACTTTCTGAGAGCTCTTTAACTGTATTATCGCCATCTTGTGATTTATGTATGGATTTGAATTTTAATATTTTATTATGTTACGTTTTAATCTTTTAAAGTGTTATATTTATGTGTTGTAAGCCACCCAAAGCCTGCTTGCAGGGTAGGGCAGGATACAAATAAAATATGAATGAATGAATAAATAAATAAATATTACTAAGATGTATATTATATATACACATAAATACATGTGTGTGATTTCTGGTCAAGGCAAAATGTAGGAATTTTTTCCCCAAGGGGGGAAAACACTTGTAACACTGGGACTAATTTTAGGTTAAAATGAGGATTACCAAATACCTGGAGAAAAAATGTCCTGTCCCTTTAAGAGAGGCTTAATGTGTGGAAATGAACAGCTGAAGCATTTTATGATGAGGGGGTAAATAACTTCATCTGATAAATAACATCCCATTAAATCTCTAATAAAGGAATAGGACATTTTTTTCTATCCAGGCAGTTAGCAACTCTAATTAAAATTGATAAATTGAATCAGAGTACTTGTTTGAGGGGGAAATTATTTATTTTTTTCTGGTCTTCTTGCATAAAGCAACTTGATTGCACAAAATTGGCCAGGAGGTTGTAGCATCAGCAGCCCCACAATACAGGCCAGCAAGGGGTGAATGAACTGGGAAAGTTTCATATTTGGTCAGTAGGACAAATGGTGGACTGTTTCAGTGGAGATGAAACTCCAGTGCTGGAGCAACATTATCCGTTTGTATATCTAACTACCTTAGTGCAGGTAAAAATGGAATGATATTTACATAGGATTAGAATCACCTAAGCGACCCTTAATAAAATAGGACGACTAGCAATTTCCAATAACTGTGGCCCAGGTAATTCCCCAGTAATAGCTGCAGGATGTTTCAAAGCCCACATTGACTTAACAACACAGCATACTATTTTTATTATATATTAAATCACAAAACCCTTCTTGACAGATGGGAATTTCAGAACTCCAGAGGGGTGGGCATGTTGGTCTGCTGCAGCCATTAAAGACTAATTAATTCATTAGGAAACAAGTTTGTTTTCATCTGTACTCTGCCATACAATGAAACATACTTTGTCCTGGGAAACTGGGCATTTGGACCTCTTTTTTGCAAAAACGTCTGCTGTTTGTACGTTTGGGTATAAATCTCTCAGTTACCTGAATGTAGCCCTTTATGCATCTGCCAAAGTGGGCTTGTGAAAGTTTATACACCACAATGAATGTTAGATACTAAAATGCCACCAAAGACTCTTTGTTATCGTGTGTCATAGAAAGATGACAATAATGCAAGGTAACAAAATAACAAATATTATCAATGCTGTGCACACTCTTCAGCCATCTCAGTGAATTCACTGGGACTCACTTCCAAGTAAAAGGTGCTTAGGATCAGGCTGCATGTGGGGAGGGGGGAGAAGGCAAATAATACCATAAGAAATAGAAATTATTATGAAGAAGGATGTTTAGGAAAATGATCATTGCTTTTGGTAGAAAGCAAGGAAAAACAACAATGCAAAGAAGCAAAAACTCCTGGTAGAAACATGGCTGAGTGCAATCCTAAACATTGTTAAACCATTCTAAGCCTACTTACTCCAACAGAAGAATGTAATGGAATAATGTAATTCTGCTTAGGATAGCACTGCAGTTGAACTAGGCCTAATTTACAAATGTACCACATCAACTGATCCAAGTCCATATAAGTAGCTGCAACTGCTGTAGCATTTTTCCAGGTGCTGCAGTCACAGAAATGGCAGCAGACCATATCTGTGGTTGCTTGATTCATATGTCACTTTTGCACACAGCATGCCTTTATCATATCTTTAGAAAACACTTCATGAGCTGCAACATAAGTAATGAGTAAGGATCCTACTATGTACAGTTCACTGCCTTTGCAGGGATGTGTGCTGGCCCCTTCATTATTTAACCTGTACATAAATTATATAACCGAGACTCTGTCAGGTTCCCAATTCACTCCACCTTCTTTGGGACAACCGAAAATTTCAATCCTCTTATACACAGATGATATGGTCCTAATTTCCCTGACTAAAATTGGTCTGATAAGGCTTTTACATCAATTAGGGCATTACTGTAACAAAGAAGCTCCCAGTGTTAATTATGCAAAGACAAAAGTAATGTTTTTTAGGAGAAAGCCTAAAATTTCTCGTTGGAGTATTCTTGGCAATTCAGTTTAAACAATGTAGTTCTTTTAAATACCTTTGAGTAACTTATAAGGAGACACTGAATTGGAAAACCCACCTGGTAATGGTTAAATCCTCAGCGCTAAGGAACGTAGGGTCAGTTCTACACTTTTTTTACGTGAGGGTGGATGTCTGATCCAACACTGAAATTATTCAAGAGCAAGGTAGTATCTCACCTACTATATAGAGTCGAAGTGTGGGATTGGAAGGAGGGCATCTTATCTAGTCTTGAGGTAATTCAAAATCAATTTTTAAGGTGAATTCTAGCTCTTCCTTGGGGTTCTCCTGCATCCCTGACAAGAGGCAAAACACGACTCCCCTCTCTTAGGGCATGGGTACATCCTGCAGTCATAAAATACTGGAAAAGGATCAAATTCTCTAGATCTAATTCCTTATGTCATCAATCAGTTAATTTTCTATTACCAAAAGATTCTATGTGCTCTGGCTTTCTCAACTTCATCTTTTAAAGCTATATCACCCCTGATGATCTCTTAGGGGTCTCAGGTGACAATTTTTGACTTAGGGATTGGATTTACAGTTCAGACGCATTGATAGATCAATCTTCAATTCTAAAATCTAAAGCAGCCCCTTGGTACAAATCAATTAAATGTGACCATTTTAGATCTAATTATTTAGTTACTATTTCCAATCACAATCTTAAGAGTGTCTTTTACTGCGCTACGTTTTCAAACCATGCAAACAGCTCTTCTGGCTGATTGTTATTTTCATACTCCAATGGAACACTGTATCTGCATTTGTGGATTGCCCGCAGTTGAGAATCTTCCTCATTATATTTTATCTTGTCCACTATACAATGAGATCAGAGATAAATTTTTGGCTGAGAGCTTATCTGCCTTAAATGCATACTCTGAAAATTAGAAGACTGTATTTCTGTTATCAGATAATGATTCTTATGTATCTTACAGAGTTTCTGTTTGCCCTTGCAGCCAAGAAGATTAGAGCTAGGGCGGTATTGAACAGGGTAGCTGCATGAATTTCTGGTTGGATCAGTCTACTCTATTTTACTAACTAATTTAAATTAATTTTAACATCTGAGCTTAAAGTTTTACTTGTTAATGTATTTTATGGTTTTGTAAAATTTGTAATAGCCAATGGCCAAATACAATAAATTTTACTACTGCCTTCCCAAATGACTTCTTCATATAGAAGGTTCCCTTGTCAGCAACCACTGCCTAAAGATCCTCACCTGGTTTGAGTAGGTGTGGGTGTGTGAAAGGGCTGGGTTGGCCAAGGTACCGGTTTGGAATCTTCCTCTGCTGAACAGGCTCGATGGATAGTTTGCGAAGGAAACAGAACTTGCAGCCTAAAAGAAAATATCTGAATCGTGTCATGCTGAGAGATCTTTCCCTTTCTAGAAATCAAAGCTGTCTAGTCGAACCACGCTTACAAAGATAAATCCCCAGTATTTCAGCTGGTCACCATAAAACATAATGCCAAAAATCAATACTTTGGCAGTAAAAAAAACAGGTCATGTATCCTTTATATCAAAAGTTATGGACAAGATATAAAAATTTTAATATATAAAATCTTTAAATTAATTACCAATAGAGTATACTAGGCAGCAAAACAAATCTCTCATACACTGAGAAAGGACTAAATGGTTTAAGGCTGTTTCTGTCCTGATAATGACATTTTGTTGTAATATAACATGAATACCCAGTTACCTGACATCCCACAACATGAGTAGAATATTTTCTACCGGGGTATTGAAACCAGTCATTCAACAAAATGGAAAGATTGCATATTGTTGTGCTTATCCTAATAACTACTTATTCCTCCAAAACTTACTGAGAGGTGATATGATAACCATCTTCAAGTACTTGAAGAGCTGTCATATAGAGGATGGGGTGCAGAGTTGTTTTCTGTTGCCCCAGAAATTGTTGGACCAGAACCAAAGAGTTGAAATTAAATCAAAAGAGTTTTCTGCTAAATGTTAGGAAGAACTTCCTGACATTTAGAGCGGTTTGGTGGAAAAGGCTTTCTTGGGAGGCAGTAGGCTCTCCTTCTTTGGAGGTTTTCAAACAGAGACTATATGCCCATCTGACAGCACTGCTGATTCTGTGAACTTAGGCAGATTATGAGAAGGAGGGTGGGAAAGGTTGCCTCAGTGCTTAGCTCTTGTGGCCCTTTCTTACACGCCCTGGGAAATGCTGATTGCCACTTTGGAGTCAGGCAGCAATTTTCCTCCAGGCCAGTTCGGCCAGTGATCCTAGAGGTTTTTTGCCATCTTCTGGGCATGAAGCAGGGGGTCACTGGGTGTATGTGTGTGTAGGGGGAGTATTTGTGAATTTCCTGCATTGTGCAGGGGTTTGGACTAGATGCCCCCGGAGGTCCCTTCCAACTCCATGATTCTACATTGGTAGTGTCATCCTGAGAGCACTTTCCTAGGAGTACGTTCCACTGAATAATATGGAACTTATTTCCAAGTAGACATGCTTAGCATTGCTTCCAAGGACATCTAGTAAGAAGGAAAGAGGCTGTGGCCGTGGACTGGAAATAGCACAGGGAGAGAAAGAAGAATACAAAAACAATGGGTTGGATCCAGCAAAGGGATTACTGTGAACGGAAAGAGGGCCAACTTTTGCTGATCCCTTTTGCTGCAGACCTCCAACTCCCTCCCCCAAGCTATTCCTCGGTGACTCCTTTCCTTCAGGAGCAGCATGGGGGTATTTTGGCTGCAGAAAGAAGGGGGAGATAGGGAAATCTCACTCCACAGACAGAAATCTATGGTGTGTCCAAGACCTGATGCATCCAAGACACTTTGAACCAAGAGGAAAGGTGGGATATAAACATTATAACAAATGTTTTACTGATGTTTATTTTATAACAGCACTACTCTAATCTCATTCTGTAAAACAAAGGCAATGTTTCTTTTCTTTGAAAGTGAATAGCATATCAATTTAACATTACACATTTTCCTATTCAGTTTTTAAAAACTTAGCCAACAAAGACTGTACTGAGATAACTGGGAATTTATCAGTAGAGTGCTCTGAGAATCACAGACTAACTTGAAGAAAATCATTTCATTTCATTACAAGTGACCCACATTTTACATTTGAATGGTTAAAATCATTAGAACAACTTTAGAGTCCAGTGGCACCTTTAAGACCAACAAAGGTCTATTCGAGGTATGAGCCTTCATGCGCATACACACTTTTTCAAATACACTGGAATAGAAGGTAAGAGTTCAAACTTATAGACAGAGGCTGAACAGCAAGTTAACATGTAACATGATGAAGATGTTATAAGATATGCAAAGACAAAACTAAATAACAAGCTAAGGTTATAAGGCAACAGTTGTTTTGATTAAATTAAGGGGGCATAGAACAGTAAAACAATGAATATGGCAAAATAGGGGATAAATGTGTAAAGGTGTCTTTTCTAATTGTGGGAAGTAAGCTGAGACTTTCCATTCGTCTCCTCTCAGACATGGAGGTCTGATGTAAGTGCTATTCATATGTGATTTTGTTCAACAGACAAAAGGCCACATTGAAGAAGTATGACCCAAATAAAGTTAAATATTTTAAAGAACCATTAATGTCCAGTGCAAAACATTTAACCACATCATTGACACTCTACCTTACCATTTAAGTCAACGGTACTTGTATGTGCTTAGCTTTTGCTGTCTCATGGCCACTGTAAACTGAGATTTCAATCAGCTTTCAATAAATGAGAATAAAGTGTTGAATAAAGATCACCATCATCAAATTAGCACTTTACTACATCAGATGTATTATATGATTTTAGAATTGTTTTATGTTTTAATGTAATTTATTTATGTAAGCTGCCCTGAGCCAGCCTTGGCTGGGAGGGTGGGGGGGGGAAATTTGATTAAACAAATTAATTAATTAATTAATAAGAAGTTCTGCAGTATTTTTTGGTCCATCTTGAGATTTTATTTGGAAAATGAGCACCTAGTCTTTGAAAATAAAGCTTCACTGTCATAAACTTTAAAGCTGAAACACATCAATCTAAATTCTTGTATTTTGTCTCTATATGAAAATTTCTGGTTAAAGTCATAGGGCTTTCTGGTGATTCTACAGCTTATCGTAGCAATCAGGCATAGTTTAACTGGGTCAGTGACCCAATTATAGGCCCGAGGTAAAAACATTCTGTTGGAGAAGTGAGCAGTGACTCACAAAAACTCATACCCTGCCACATATTTTGTTAATCTTTACGGTGCTACTGGACTCTTGCTCTTTTCTACTGCTACGGACAGAGTAACACGACTATCTATCTTGATCTATCTGTTGGAGTAGTCATATTATCCTGTTGCAGCAAAAGTAAAAAAGAAGTCTTGTGGCACTTAAATACTAACAGACTTTTTAATGCATAAGCCAGTACCCACGAAAGCTTATGCTGAAGTTGCAGGAAATATGTTAAGACTTTATGATGCCACAAAACTCCTTTTTGGTTTTATGTTGCGCAAAGTCGCCCGTGATGAAGACAGAAAGGCGAACAAGAACCTACAGAGCACATAATACGGAAGCAGGTGCCTGACACGAGTATATTCTCCCCTCCTCGGGACTAAGGAAACTCATCTTTAGAAGGAAAGAAAGTATCTGACCTGAAAAGCTGCACATGCCCCTTACAGCTGGGTAAAGCCTCTGTGATGGGAACCACACCATGGCTGAGTCCCCAGCCTGCAAGGACAACACCTACCACTACAGGGCGATCTCTGAAAAGAAACCAACCCCCCAACCCCCCGGCTGTGTTTTCCTCTTTTTCCCAAGCCCCCACTCTCCAGCATGGCCAACTTCCTAGCCTACGCTAGACTCGCACGTATCTCCTGCATGTTTAAAGGACCTCATCAGTCCATAGGCGCAGTTTGATGTCGTCACTACGCCCGTTTCCAAGGAGCTGTTTGTCATTTACCCCTCATCTTCCGGGAAACATTATTTAGGTGCCTAAACAAAACGCCAGTTTACATAAGGACAACCCCACTTTCCCCCTGTCGCGCGCAGCGAAAGGCTTGCGGATGAACTAAGCCCCCTTCTTCACACAGCCGGTAAAGCAAACAAAATGTCGCCGTCCGGTGTTGTGAAAGGGAGAGTTGATTGGTAGAAAGGCAGCATTATGGACAACTGAACTTTCGGTTCTAGAAGTTTCTGATCTCCCGAGCTGAGAGGCGTGAGGGCGGGGAGGGGTGGCCGACAGGGGTGGGCTATTGGAGGGGAAAGGAGGGGCGGATTCGGCCGCAGGCGCACCTCGGGCGTGAGGAAGGGAGGGCGCGGCAGGGTAGCGAGAGAAGCCTGAAAAGGGGGCGGGGTGGGCGCGCGCACTGCGTTGCGCCGCGCCGCGCCTTGCGTGACGGTGGGGCCTGGAGCGAGAGCAGGGCAGGCTGGGAACTTTCGTTACTCCTCTCAGAGGGAAGCGCTAGTAGTAATAGTAGCGGCAGTCGCTGCTGCTCCAAGACGCCGTTGTAGTGCCCGTAAGTGTGAGGACGACTGCACCCGGGGGGAGCCATGGACCTGCGGAAAGTGAGCGAGCTGCGGGCCTTCGTGAAACTCTGCAAACAGAACCCGGCCGTGTTGCACGCTGAGGAGTTGAGTTTCTTCCGCGAGTGGGTGGAGAGGTAAGTGCGAAGTCGGTCTGGGGTGGTGGTGGTGGTGGTGGGATTGGGAAGGAAGGTGGGGAAGGCGGGGTCGCCCGCCCGCATCCTGTCCTCCTCTCGTACCTACAACAGTCGCACTTGTTTGCAGGGCTGAGTTCTGGATCAAGGCGCTTCATTCTGGTGGAGAGCTACGGGAGCAGCTATTTCCCCGGGGGAGGGGGGGGAGAGCAAATTTTCGGGTTGAGTCTTGTTCAGAGGTTGGGGGTCGGTCGTCTCGCTTGCAGGGCAGCTAGGGGAGCGTTTCCGGAATGTGGGAGGGGGTTTGGGGGATGAGTGCCTTGTGGGGGTGGGAGTTCTGTACTGCTGAAAAGTCACAGATAACTACTAAGGAATCGAGGGTATTTGGCAGTCTTTTCTGGTTTCCGCTTCGTTTGCTGTTTCTTTTCTTGTCTGCCTTCTTCTGAATCCATTTGGAGAATTTATTATCGAATTCCTGAACCGGAGGTCTCATCGTGTCATTACTCTTTTTTCATTTCTCTTGTTCCTTATTAATTCCTCTTCTCCTCACCGCTCCCTTTCCCGGTTTTTCGTAAAGGAAGGATTTCATGCTGTTAAGAGAAAACATATGATCTGTAAACCTCCTAACTTCAGGACTACTTTAGAATATTTTTAGTTTTCATATGCAGTACTCTTGTGTGAGGAAAAGAATGGGGAGGAAAATGTATTGTAATTTGTGGTGATTGTGTGGGTGTCTTCTTAACTTTTTGAACTGTGCTGTGGCACCTTGGTCATTTGTTGCTTCTTAGCATGTGTGCACAATGTGAGAAGGGAGCATTCTCTGGAGAAGACCCTGATGCTGGGAAAGATTGAAGGTTAAAGAAGACGGGGACGGCAAAGGATGAGATGGTTAGACAGTGTCATAGACGCAATGAACATGAAATTGAGCAAACTTCAGAGAACGGCGGAAGACAGGAGGGCCTGGTGTGATCTTGTCCATGGGGTCGCGAAGAGTCGAACTCAACTGTGCGACTGAACAACAACAAAACAATTAAATCTATGTATTGCACATGACAAGTGTATGGTTTTGTCACTCCATTTTCTTCTCAGAAGTGCTTTCTGTGTAAGAATACAACATACACTTGGAAGTAGCTTTAAACTTTGTGCTGTTTAGGTTGGGTTTTTGTGTGGGAAATAGAACTACATTTGTCAAATTAATCATTCCAATGTCAAATTAATCGTTCCAATCTACGCAATGCAAAATTAGTATGTCTAAATTACTGTTAAATAACATAGGATTGGGTTAGTATGTCTTTGTAACTAATGTTACATGTAGTGGCCAGTTTGTGTAAGCATGATTATAGGTCCTAAAGCACTTAACTGGATTACCTATCTCAATCTGCACAGCAGGAAAAATGGCTGTCAACATTTTCCAGGCTCTTCTTTTGAAAATCCAATTCATTATGTCAGATACTGCTTGAAAGTAACTAATGTTGTGTTGCCAAGAATGTCTAAGATAGTGGTTGTCATTTGTACAAGGCAAGAATAGAAAGAAATCAAAACTACTGTTTCATAATCCATAACAAAGACCCAAGGGATGTTCTAATTTTTTTAAAAACAGGTTTGGGTTAGCATTAACTTCTTCAATGGAATGGAAGTATGATTTTAGGGTAATGCAAAAAGCATGCATGGGGATGCTGAAAGAGCTTGAGCTGAGGTAGCACCATGACCCTGTCACTATGACCACCTAATGGATTTTCAGAGAGAGTTGGTAAAGGTACATTATTTGAGGTACGCATTCTTTGTTTTTGTGAAGTGATTTTTACTTTGGATCAGTTGGTTAACAGCCCAGTGTTGCACAGAGTTAAGTGTCATATGGCCATATAAGTTAGTAGGTTTAGGTGTGCTTAACTCTGAATTAGAATGGGAAACAGAAGTGTTAATCTCAAAACTTATTTGTGAAGAAAAGTTATCAGTTGGTTAAAAACAGTGTCATCTGAGCAGCATTGCACCTTTCTAAGCCAATTCAAGTCAGTGGGCATAAGGGTGTAGTTCTTTTCAGGGTGACACTGAAAATGTCTTAGTTTGGTATTTAGCCTCCTAGATTCTTCAGGAATAAAAGGTTTACTTCTGTGATTTCTCTTTCAGTTACATTTTGCCAAAGTATTCTCTTGCTAGAAAACTGTATGTCATTGTTGTTTTTTCCAACACAGAAGTGTTTTTCTTTTCTTTTTTTGCCCCCTGTAGGGGAATTTTTATTGCATTTTTCTATAAACTACAACGAAAAAAGGGAAGGGGAAACTACATATATGGAAGAAAGGAAAGAAAACCACTAAAAACCCAAGTATAGGAGATCATTACAAAGCTTGCCATCAGTGTTAGTCTAAAATGCTAAGATTACATTGAACATGGTCGATTCAGCTATATTATTCTTTAAAACCATTAGCTTAACTGTTTTTTTTAAAAAAGAACCACAAGAGCATCGTTAAAATCTTCAAGGCACCGATCAGAGTCCTTCAGCCTTCATTTTGTTTTATCTTTCCTAATCCTCAGTTGATACTCTCGTTTGGGGGCTGCCGCCCCCTTTTCGGAGGCAGAGTCCTTTTCGGAAGTAGCAGAGTCCATTTCATCACTACGTTTGCTGTCTTCTTCCTTGCCATCCTCACCTGACTCTCCCAGTTGCAGTCTCAGGAACTCACGCGCTTTAGAAACAGAGTCAATTTTTTCTTTTTTATCCTGCAGTTTGAAAATGACGCCTTCGGAGGGTCAACCATCTGTAGGGAATGCTGTTTGTTTGCAAAAACAGAATCAAGTGTTTATACTTCTTCCTCTTCTTCCTTATTTCAAATGGAATATCTTTTAGAATCCTGATAATGTTGCCTCCAATTTTCAAGGGTGTTCCTGTAGTTGCTTTCAGGTTCTGTCTCTTCGAGAATCCAACCACTATCTCCCCAGGCAGATTATTTTTCTTGATATACATGGAATAGGCTCTATAAACCACATCCATTTAGCTTTCAAGATATTCCGCTTTTAAATCTGTAAGTGGAGCTAGCGCGTCGCTCAAAAGTTGCTTTAGATTCTCCTCTTTTGCTTCCGGGACCCCTTGGAACCGGAGGACTAGGTTAGCTTTCTCCATTTGCAGCTGCAAAAGTTGAAGTTCGTCTGAAGCTTACTTCTTTTCCAGCATTTGAACCTTTTTCTTAACCTTTTTAGATTTGGCATCCATTTCCTTCACTTTCTCAGCTGCTTGCTCTGGCTTTTTTGTAGTTTCAGTCAATTGGAGCTGCTGAGCGGCAAGATTCTGGTTTCAAGCAGTCAGCTGCTGATTGATATTAGTCATGTGGTCCAGTAGAGGGCGCAAAGAGTCCGCTAACAGTTTAGAAAACTCAGTGGTATCTTCCGGTCGGGGGCTCATGCTCCCCGGTGGTTTCACTTTTGCTTGTTTGTCTTTCTCTGTTTTTTTCCACGCCATGTTTGTGGATTGCTTACTTTTTTAAAGAACTTGCTAAAGTCTCTGAAATTCGCCCAAACACTTATTGGCGCTCTGGTTGATTTTTTAAAACAGATTTCAATGCTTTTGCTTCAGCTCTCCCTTGGCAAATCACTGTTCTTTTTAGGCGTATGGGAGGGGCCCCTCCCCTGCTCGCTCGTCTCGTTGTTCCCAGGGGGGCTTTCTTTTAAATTCCCACCATTTCGCTTTAACTCAACTCACAGTTCATTGATGGTCCGAAGACCTCGCTCAAGGTACGTTTTATACGCCTGATCTCCAACACTTGTCCCGGTTGGCGGCTCTGATTCCATTACGGATGCAGCAGCGGCAGGACCGTTGGGGGGGAAGAGCGCCTCAATTCTCCAGCAACGTGCTGGTGAAGTGGCCACCCTTCAAAAGCCCCATGGCTGGGAGCCTTTCGCAAAGGCTCTCTGGGGGTGGCGGCGAACAATTGCCCCCCCTCCCAACCGCTGGCACGCGGATCACTTCCCCGGGGAGGTCCGGGAGACGCGTCCGCTAGTGTGGCGCCATAAACCGGAAGTCAATACAGAAGTGTTTTTCTATAAAAAAGGGACAGGGTACATAGCTGTAATAAGAATATATTGAAGCATTTGTTCTCCGTTCTAGGGCAAACAAAGCAGGTGCTTCAAGAATAACAAATGAAAATGTGGAACAGAATATAGCACAAGCCATACATCTGCAGTTCTTGTTGTACAAAAATATTGTTGAGGTTATTCTGCATTCCCCTCTACATTACAGAAAGAGTCCTTATGGTGTTAGTGTATCCTGGGGTTGTGGTCTTCGTTTATCTAGCATTTTCTAGCCTGAACAAGTTTGTATTTTAGGGTGGGCTGAAAAAAGAATTGTGTTGAGGATAGTTCCTCTAGTATTAGTAGGACAGGACATGTGGAATTTCAGGCCTGTTCTAGATATGCTCCCAGGCATCTTTTGCATGCTTCCTGGACTGGAAGATAGTAAATGGATCAGGCTGCTTAATATCCATCTATGTGCAGTAATAAAAATGGCTCCTAGCTCAGTACTTTATAATGATTTAGTAATGTCTTGTGAGTGTTATTTCATAATTTACCCCAAGCCTTGCCAAAGGTTTCAGCAAAGATCTAAATACATGGTGCATATTTTTCATTACTCTGGGAAACCTGAATGCACAGCCTTATTTAGTAGTGTTCCTTCCTTTAATTGCCATGGACTTCTTGCCTATGAAGTGAGCTCTGCCAGTTGATCTGTCTTTGCTGTAGATAAGTAAGCTTAAACCAGTTGGTAATATTTCAGAAGTTATTTGGTGGTGGTGCAAGGTGCTGTCAAGTTGCAGCTGATTTATGGTGACCCCCATTGAGTTTTCAGGCAAGGGATGAGCTGAGGTGGTTTGCCATTGTCTGTCTCTGTGAAGGAACCTTGGACTTCCTTAGCAGTTTCCCACCTGCCTAGCTTCCAGGATCTGACAAGAAGCTACTTAGACCCCCTTAATGACAGTACTGAAAAATTCCTGAAAGTGCAAGAAACCAAATTGAGTTAATTCATCTCAAGGTAAAAGAGTTTGTGTGGTTATTCCCAGCAATGTCTTACCTAATTGAAAATTTCTGCTGTTAATGTTCATCTTTATCTGAACAGTACAGAAAACTCTTCTCAACTGGTCTTTCTTTTTTGTTGTAAAGCATGGGAGGTACAATACCACCAGCTCCGTGCAACACTACTTCTTCAGAGAAGCCTGATGAGGTAAGAGAAGTTTGGTAAGATGATGGCTTTGTGTACACTTACGTATATAATACACAATTCTTGAAATAGGGGTCAATATAAAAAAATCAGTGCTGCTGAGACTTAGACAGAAGAATAGACCAGATGGTCTTAAATGGAGAACTTGATGCTATGGGTGCTGTATTATGACAGAAAACTTGAGTTTGCACAGTACAGCAGTTGACATGCAGTGTAGATGGTGGTCACAAATGTAATGCCTTAGATCAACAAGTGTGACTGATTAAGAAATACTCAGACCTCCTTTACACATACAAATTGTGTGGTTATTTGCTGCTCCCTTGCAGATATGTTTTGGTTGGATTTAATTCTGTTGTTCCTTCCAAGGAGCTGAGAGTGTCACAGCTACCTGGTGACATAGGTTAACGAAAGACAGCCTGACTTTGCCTGATCTCCCCCCAACTTTCATGACTGAGTAGAGGTTTGAATCTGATTTCACTCAACCAAATTCCTGTAGTCTGGATAATATGCCACTTGGGTTCTCATTTAGCGATCTTGTGGCAAGCCTATGGGGAGCCTATGGGGAGGCTGGGAGGAAGTTTTGTTTTGGATTTTCAGATTCTTTTCACTGTATGGTGGAAGAGACATTGCATTTATGTAATTGGTTTTAAGGGTGCAAGAAACAAGTTGGAACTGATCATTTAAGTTCATGTTCCTTCACTTTACACTGTGAGGTTTTCCTGTATTTTAATCTGATTTTTAAAGCAAGATGTTGTGAGCTAATGATGCTTACCCTGTATGTTGATTACCTGAAAACTCTTATCTGTAATGTTTAAAAGCACCTTGTGGCATTTGCATGCCAGCATAAGAGTATACAGTGTTGGCTGGTAGATGCCACACTTACTGGAAAACTTTAATACGACAGAGTTCTTCTAAAGTTTTATTGCATAAATAATCTAGCCTAAATTATGCTGCCCCATAATATTTGTCATTTCCTGTGTTGAAACTATATAAAAGGTACCAACTTCTTCAGGTCATGTTGTATAAAAAGTACCTTGAGGTAGAGTGAACTATTAATTCTAAATCAGTAGAACATTCTTACTGTGGCCTCCAGGGAACAAACTGCCTTGCATGTGCAAACCTTGTGTCTTTCATCAGGGTGGTTAGGAAAAGAGCATATTGGTGTAATAGCTGATGTTACTATAATCCCACTTGGAAGTGGTATAAACCATGCTCTAAAGAAACACTCTTGAATCTCTTCCAACTTGTTGGATTTTCCTCTGGCTAGGATGTAGCTTCATAAAAAAGCCAGGCATATAATTCTACCTCCCCCCCCCCTTCAGTTTCACTTTCTAATTACCAGATTTGCAGGGCGGGACACTTTTCTCCTTCAGTTTCCAAGAAGGATATATAGAACAGAAACTGGGTTTGCAGAAGGCAGGCTAATTGACTGGACTTTGTGTCAGTCATAAAAGACCTCCCCTTCTTCAGCCAAGCTTTGGGCAGTGCTGGTTGGCTGGGTCCCTTGTCATTTATGAAAACACCTTCCCTTTTGGAATAGATCTCAAAGTTTATTTAAATAGTGAAAAATGTTATGCCTAGTGCTCCCCCACCTCTGTAAATATGCCTGGTGCCCCCCCACCCCCATAACAGTCTGCCCAAAGCATGTTGCGAGAAGGGGGGACTATCATTCCCAAGGCCAAATATGTGACTGTTGAAGAGCTAAGGTAGAAGGAAGCAGAGTATGCATACAACTTAAATGCCTGCGTTGCTCCTCTTCAAAGGTACATCTGCATTCTCTGCAGTGATAATTCTGTTCTGCTCCCCCATATTTATTTCCCTTCTCATATTGACATGATGGGTGGTAGTGGCATTATTTTTAACCTTACCTTTCCTTTCTACCTTAAATAGGTCCTTACACGATCTTTACACACATTTGTGTGGCAAAGACCTACAGTGTAAAATTAAAGTAGAGGAAAAAGTAGCTTGCTATATGTGTTGCATGTCCTTCTCATTTTCTTACACTGGTGAGATGGAGTTGTTCCTCTCAGACCCAAGCAAAAAATTTTCTTCCACATAAATTCCCCCTCAGTGTACTGATAGAAAGATTTTTACTTTGCCTTTGTGATTTTTGGGCAGGGGCTTGATACTGGGGATGGACATGAACCATATTTTTGTGGTTTTGTTCATGGCTGAACCGCAAACTGAACCAACTGAATATGCCATTTCTGAATTGTTCATATAGGTTTCTGGGCCATTTAAAGTTTAAAACCCTGCTTTCTGCTCAGAGGGAGTAGAGAGCAGGGGGTTAAATGTCTTGAAGCCATTTAAATCAAACAGCTGAGTGGTGTTCTCCCTCTGAGGCGGAGGACATCTCTGTGGGTTATTCTCATTGTTCCTATAGGGAGGCTGGAAACAATTTTTTCTTCTTCCCTTTGGCGCCTTCGGAATAACCCGCCCCTTCAGTTCTGTTCCTGCCTCCCTAGGGAGTAGCAGCATATCTCCTTCTACCTCCGTTACTTTCTCTGCTTCCCCACCTTGGGGACTCTGAAAAATCTGACTCCCGCCTTTTTGCCTCCACTGGAACGGAGCACGCAGATGGCGGCAATGGAGCACACCGATGCCTTCCTCTCCGAGGAGGAAGCTGAGCTGCGCGGCGCAGTGGCTCAACACCTGATCACCAATGGGGCCGACTTGCCCCCGCGGCTTGTTCATGCTGCCCGCGAAGGGGAGCAGGACGAAGCAGAGGAGTGGAGGACAAAGAAGCGTCGCCTGCTTGAACAGCCCGCCGCTCCGATGGGGCTCCTGATCCTGCCCGGTGGCCATCTTGGAAGTGCGGAGCGGGGCTCCAATACCTTCCCGCCTTCACAGGCAGCCACAGAAAGGAACAACAAGAGGGACCAGGGACCTGATCTGGCAACTGACTCCTAAGGAGACCCAATCCAGTTGGGTAACGTGCCCAGCCTTGGGAAAGGGTCTATCTCCAGGGAAATGATGCAGTGCTTCAGGAGGGCCATGCAGGAGGAGGTCTCCTCCTTCTGCTCTAGAGTAGGCATCACCCCTAAGGAGCACCATGATCAGCCCAGTCGCCCCTGGCCCACAAAGGCATCCCAGAAGGCCATTCCCCATAGGAAGAGGGCTAGGGATTCCTGTGTTGACTCCTCTGACTCTGAGCCTGAAGAGAGAGAGGAAGGGGAATTTCTATCTGATGAGGAGGTGGTCCCAGCTAAGGTCCCTGAACAATCCAACTGATTCTTTAAGAGTGAAGATTACCAATTTCTCCTAACCAAGGCAGTTATGGCCCTGTGTACCCAGGACTCTGCTGCTGATCAGGAAGCCAGGGTGTCAAGGAGAAAATTTAAATCTAGATCCACAGGTGACACTGAGTTCTTTCCTCCTGATGCAATAATTGAAATTGAAAGGTAAAAGGTCTTCCCTTTTCCAGAATACATTGAACGCCAATTGACTTCTGACTGGGACAAACTGGCTGCTAATACTCAATTTCCTCATTTTGTTACAAAACTATATGCCTTACCTAATTACACTAATGAGCTCTTACAGGTACCTCCAGTAGATGGCCCAGTATCGGCACTTCAGTCTACGGGTTTACTCTCTGAAGACGGCCATGGCACCATTCGTGATGCAGTGGATAAGAAGACAGAAGCAACACTCAAGAGAAATTATGAGGCGGTTGCAATGATGGTCAGAGCTGCTGCGACAACGTCTATCGCCACTAGGGCATCCATTGTATGGATCCGTAAACTGATAGAGCTACTACCAGAGAATGATTTCAGACTCTTGGAGGGAGCCAGCCACATCCTTAAAGCCACATCGTTTGCAGCAGATGCATCCTTGGACATCTTGATGTTTGCCTACCGCAGTCGCCAGACGTCTGTTGTGGCACAGAGCTTGGCAGGCCTATTTCCTCTCTAAGTGCATGGTCTCTGCTTACCCCTTTCAAGGTGATTGCCTATTCAGGGAATCATTGGACAAGATTCTAGTAGAAACATATGAGAAGAAGAAAGCAATGCCCAGATCCCTGCGTCATTCTGACAGGCGTGGATCACATTCCTTTTGTACCCAACACACTGCCGCGTTTTTGCCAGGAGACAAAGAAAAGCAACTGGGAAGGCTCTAGGTCCTCATTTAAGAAAGGTCCCACCAACTCCAGTTCCAGGTTCAACAGACACGTCTTCAACAGAAACAACCACCCAGACCGAGATGCCAAACCTAAGCAGGTATGACTGCCAAAGCTATCTGGTGGGAGCATGTCTTACACATTTTCTTCCATGCTGGGAGGCTTCCCAGGTAGATTCATGGACTCTGGACGTGATATCCCTGGGGTACACCATAGAATTTCTCAGCCTCCCACTGGAGAGGTTCATCCAGTCACCATTCTCCAACAGACCCAACAAAATGTCTATAGTCATGTTGGCGATCCAACATTCACTCGACATCCAGGTGATAGAACCGGTTCCACCCCCAGAGGTGGGACATGGCGTATACTCTCTTCTCTTCATGGCCCCCTCGAAAAATGGGAAATGGAGAGTAGTGTTGGACCTCAAATTCCTCAACAGATTCCTCAAGCTCAGCCAATTTCGCATGGAGACGTTGAGGTCCATAACGGAGAATATACAACAGGGCGACTTCCTAACATCAATAGACCTTACGGATGCCTATCTACCCATCCATCCATCCCACAGAAGATTTCTCTGGTTCACAGTGAATGGCAAACGTTTTCAGTACTGGGCTCTACAGCACCGAGAATGTTCTCCCTCTGAGGTGGAGGACATCTTGTGGGTGATTCCCATCCATCACTTAGGGAGGCAGGACTAATTTCAATTACTTCCTGTTTCCTTTAGTGGGAGTCACCCTAGGCTCAGTTTTTTTCCTGCCTCAGAAGGGAGAGCAGGTAGGTGTAGGCTCTGCCTAACCCTGTCTTTCTGAGTTAACTTACTTTCACTTTCTCCTTCCGTCTTTGCTGTTCCCACTCTCTGAAGAAACTTTTTAAAAATCCTTTTCTT